TAAGAATTGATACTACACTTGATCTTAAGAGAAGAGCTGGGGAGAAGCATTTATTGCAAAAAGATAATGCTAGTGTTGCAGGCAGGCCTCAAGACCCAGTGGGCTTCATTGATAAAAGAGATTTCTAGTCCGCAAAGGAAATGCTAACTAATTGGTAATATCACAAAATGTGCACAAAGTATTTAATTTGTTTAAGTGTGGGCTGTAAAAGTATCTATAATTAATGCAAATCAGCACCTAGCAAGGTTGTAGGTTTCAGGTAAACACTGGATAAATGGAAGGTGGAGCCATTGTTTACACAAAACTCCAGATTCAACCAAAAAGGCAGAAGAAATTTGCAAGTGCATACTGTGCAACTTTACTGTAGTGAAAATGTTTAGTGCCTGCTGAGTTCTAAGTCTTCAACTTAGCTACACAGACACCCCAACAACTAGAATTATTAGTTGTCAGCATCTGAGGCATGATTTCTTTTTGTGAGATGAAGGAAGCAAGTCATGATTTCTAGCATCCCTGCATCATATCCTTTGCATGTGCACGGCACCCTCTAGTGGCTAATGTGGAGATTCACATCTCTAGGGAAGCAGGGGATGCCAGATTTATTTTTGCAAGAAAATACAGCCCTCAAGTTAGGGTAAGGAGGCCTAAAAAGAGCCAAAAAATCCACCCACGAAAACAGGGCGAAGCAGAGTAAAGCCTTCTTAAAAAAAGAAGGTATCTGCATGTTTCAATTCCATATCAAATCCAAAAATCAATGTATATTCCTCATTTCAGGATACTGGGTACAACGTACATAATTCCTTTTGTTTCTGGACTATATGTTCTTACAGAAATAATGGTCATGAGTCATTTATTACAAACTCAGTAGAGCTGTTTCAGGCTTGCTGGTTATCATCAGTGCAGTGCAAGGACAACATGGTCTTTTATAGAGTAGAAAAGCAACAAGAATACCCAGACAAGTTTTGGTTTGGAGGTCCATTTGGAACCAAAAAGCCTCAGCCTCTATACAAAATGCAGTCTAGAAGTGGAGTTTCAACTCAGCTGGCTTTCACCACACTAGAGGATTCTCCATATACAAAGAACCACCTGGCCAGTGGGTGAGAGCAGGAGTCCCCAACAGCTCTGAAGCTCTATCCCTATTGAAAAGCCTGATTTATTACTATGAAATATGAAAATACATTTATGGTTGGAACAGCTCTTTAAATCTCAATGTAAAATAAACTTTTCACATGTTCAGGACAATTTCACGATATGGCTCTCAAACGTGCCAAGTAGGAGTTAACGTACAGTGCTGCAGATGTCATCTCCCGCTAAGTAGAATGACCCATCCAACATTTCTTTTACAGTGTGGTGACAGAAATGATATATATTAGGCCTCGGTACACCTCTGATGTGGTATACCATAGTGCTGTAGAGCATGCAGATGTGGTGACCAGACCACCCAAAAGAGGAGGCCAGACTAACCTCTGTGTGGGCATCACACAGATGCAAAATATCTATATGTTGTATCACATGTATGTTACTCACAACATTACAGCATAAGCCATTGTTATTAATAGGTCTACAGAACTAGAGAGTTCTCCACACTGGTCTTAAAAGGTGGCTGTTCTGTGTGGTTACTGCTTTAACCCAAAATGTCCACAGTCTGTGGAAGACAGACCATTCAGACAGACTAATGTATTCAAAAAAGTGGGTCTGTCACCAGACTGGATCCACAAATATTAAAGAGCAACTCCTCCCTAAACTTATATTTCAGTTCTGCAAGGCTATTGGCATACTGCATAACGCAATGGCTTGTTATAGCTCTCTTAGGGACTCCTGTGGCCAAATAAGTGTACAAGGATTCCCCAAAACACATGATAGAGAGGATTCTCTATCATGCAGAATACAAACATAACCTGGGAATCCAGTTGCAAGAAATACCACTGCTAAGTTTGACTTTGGAACCAAAGATACACCATATGGTGGACATCTCACCATCACACCTATTTATAAAGGCCAAACATATGTGCATACCCCTCCATATGTTTAAGCTCAGACAATTCCAATAAAGGTTGCCCTCAATACTACATCATACAAAGATATTTAAGACAAATGGCACTTTCAACCTTGAGGTAACAGTTTGGTGAAGGCCCATTTCTGTTGCAACATAACTGTGCCCATGTGTACAAAGCCAGCTCCATAAAGACATGGTTTGACGAGTGTAGTGTGGAAGAACTTGCATGGCTTCCATAGAGTCCTGATCTCAACCTTACTGAGCACCTTTGAATGAACGAATGAATTAATTAATTTAGACAAAGATTGTGAGCCAATTCTCATCCAATTTCAGTACTACGGGCACAAATTCCTGCGGACACACTCAAAAATCTTCCCAGAAGAGTGGTGGCTGTTGCAGTAACCAAGGCAGGGGGAGTGGGAATCCCTATGCCCAATGATTCCCTGTGAAAGAATAGGGGAATTTAGGACCATTCACACCACACAGCTTGTGTTATGCTGTGTATAATGCATGTGCACATTGTGTATGACGGGGTTGGGGCATTGTTACATGCATCACATTTTACCAATGCCTCACACCATTTAACAATGTTTACTTTCTTTTCTTTCACTTTATTGAAATGTCTCAAAATGATACTTCACGCAATTCTATGCTGTGGAGCGTTATAATGCATTGTTGTGCGTTGCACTGTGTAAAAATGCAGACATGCTGCATGTTTTCACCAAGCACACCAACTTACCTGTATAATGTGAAGAGGGCACATAGAAAACGATTGCTGTCACTCTGGCCTTGCATTGAGCCTGCATCACTGATCAATGCTGATTAACAGAGCTCAATACACCTGGTGCAAACAAGCCGTTACATTTTGAATGGGGAGTTCCAGAAAAGTGCATAATTACAGTGCCTGGGTGGAGCTTAGAGTCCTTATTCTCAATCACAGCCTGAATCACAGCCTTAAGGTGCCCATACACCTTACGACCATCGCAAGACTTTTGTCTTGCGATGGTCGTATGCTTCTTGAAAGCCAGTACGATCTGCCCACCTTGGACGGGCAGATCGTACTTGCGATCATTGAAAGCCCACCCCGCTGAGGGGCGCGTCCCGATGACGGCAATGCAGAACGGGCAGTGTGCGCGTGCGCACACCGGCCCGTTCCGCAGCTATCGGACGAGCAGGCTAGAAACCCGCAGAGAATCGTACGATTCTCGGCGGGTTTTCGAACATGTTGGCTCGACAAAAGACGTGCGACCGTACAGTAGAAATGGTCACACGTCTTCGTTCTTCGTTTTAGGCCCCCTAAAACCTTTTGACTCGTACGATCGCGGGATTTCGCCCGATTCTCGTACGAGAATCGAGCAGTGTATGGGCACCTTTAGGATTAGGTGTTCCCAGAATACCAGGGCACTCAAACGGCACTCAAACAGCGCCAGGATTATTTAAAAAAAAAAAAAAAGCCCAGATAGGTAACCTTTGCATGGAGTTTGACAGAATTGATCCTTTAACACAGCATACAATACAATAGAATAACAGTACAGAATCAGAACAGAATTTTGTAGAGATTCCCATCTTGGGAAAAAAAAAATATTCTAAAAAATGTTTTCCCCTTTTCTACATAACAAGCTTTTCCTGCTTCGCTCTGCAATCTTAGTGCCAAAACAGACAGCAGAAGTAAAATAAATAAAACCAGGTCCCCATATTGTCTTTCCTGGCATGGCAAGAAAACAAAATGCCATTGTTGTAAAGCAGAGCAACTGGATTGGGGTTTGCTTTAGCCAGAGGTTTTCCTAGGCCACAATTATACGGGCAGCTGCCAGACATTAGTATGTCCAGCAGCAGGAAATATGTGCATTCATTATTTATGTTCAGTATGTAAACAACAGGACTCGATGATTGCTTCCACAGTGACTGCTTCTAATAAACAGACCCATTTAATAGAAGGTAAACTTTAAAGTAGTATTAAACTCTCAATCTATTTTTCAATAATGAATCCAGATCAAACAAATATACACTGCCCAGCAAAGTATTCTTTACATCTTTGCCCAAACACAATCATCAGCTCCAGCTCTCTCTGCTCAGCTTTCCTGAACTTCCTGTCCAGTACAAAATCACAAGGGACAGCACAGTCTCCAGCAACTGTCCATCTACTGGCTGGGGAAGGAAAGAGGGAGAAATGGCGAAGGAAAGATGGAGGAATGGAGAGCAGGGGAGTGACTTGCCTTGCTATGCCTGCGTGTGTGTAAAGACACACACGCAGCTTATTAGCACACACAAGGGTGGCTCCATAGCCCACAGGGGAAAGGAGGCCCCCTAAAACAGGATATCAGGGCCAGTGCTCAGGGAACCAGCTGATTCTGCAGGAAGCTAAAACTTTTAAACATCAAGGAGTAGCATCCATGGTAAGTGATATGAAAACCTTTTGACTTTAATATCAGCCAGCCTGTGCAGCTCTGTAAACAGCTGAGATGCCCAAAGGGACTCTTCCCCCAACTACTCATTGCGCTGATTATAAACTTCCCTTCAGCTGCTCGGAACCCATCTGAAATCTTCAGTGTAGGTACTGTTACAACTATAATGAGGCAACAAAAAGCACATCGTTTTGATATTATGAAAGACAATAGATATAACCATTAGAATTTAGTTTTAAAGGAATTTATCACCATTTCAATTTTGTGTTTTCATAAACAAAATAGATCTTATCCTTTTGCTCATTAAATATGCATTTTATGCTTTCTGCTTTTCAGGAACACAATTGGTTGATTTACTGCTCCTTCTCACAATGCAAGTTTATGAGTTGGCCGACACAACAATATGGAAACTCCCTATGTGGCAGACATCTTATCTCAACAGTTGTAAAGAGAGAGCAACTGATCTGAGTCACTAGCAGCTCCCTCTAGTGGATAATCTACTATCTATACATTTAGTTAAAAAGAGCAAATACAGAAGATTACCTTACTTTAGGGTAAACACTAATAATAAGTCATCCTATACGCTCTCTGAAAAAGGATACAAGGGTTATTGTCATCTATACTGCAGTTATCCAGAATGAGTGGAATACCATCCAACTGATAGATCTATAAGAAAACAAAAACACATAGAGAATATGTTAAATAGAATATCATAAAATCCTGCTAGGTTATGTAAAGTGAAAGAACAAGATGGCAAAGCTGTAGGGATAAGTCTAGGTATCATTTTCTTTCATAAAAACAATGGGGGGGGGGGGGAATTGATCAAAAACGGAGCAGACAAACTTTGGAGCAGCTGTGCATGGCAACCAATCAGCTTTTCTCTTCAGTTTGTTCAGTTAAGATTTCAAAATGAAAGAGAGAGGCTGATTGGCTGCCATGCACATATTCTCCAGATTTTGTCTGTTCCAGTTTGGATAAATTCCCTTCAGTGTGTTTCGGGAGTTATACTGTTTTTTTTTTCTCCCTCATCAGGGCCTAAGTTTATTGTGAAGGAGCAATCTGGACCAGCGTTTAATTCTTAGTAAGTTGTAGTAAGTTAATACTTATTTGGTCAGGTTGTGTGACAGCATTCTGTTAGTGATAGCTATTTCTTTAGTGATAGCATAGCCCAATTTAGGAATTTCCTTAACTTTCAGTTCCCATGACAACTGTCACCAGGGCAGAGTGAATTGACCTAGCAAGGACACAGACAGCAACGGAAATCCCAAAACATTTTAAAGTTCTTTGCCCTGTACTATTAATAATAATAATAATAATAAAGGTTTTATTGCTATACTCCCCTTCAGTTCAGAGCTGTCCCCAGCAGAAATTCCTCCCCTCCAGATGTCATCAGTCTTACAGACTGAATGACAGCCGTCATCACTCTGCCCACTTTCTGTGAGCCTGGGCTCAGAATACTACTGCACTTAACAGTGCACACATGTCATAAAGCAAGTGTTGTTCATTGCAAATGTAAGGACCATCCTTCCCATTACCAGCCTGCCTTAGTTTTGAAGCAAACAGTACACTAGTGGATCACAGAAAAAAAAAGAGGGGGCCCCCTACATATTTAGAAAACTGAAGCCTAATTGTGGAAGGCATCCTAGTAGAGTGCATCTTTCCTGGAGTGTTTACCCCTTACCTTGTAGACCTAAGTGATAGTATGCAAAATTCATCTATTAATAGTGCAACAAGGAGCTGGCTGCCCCATATGGGGACCCTCAGGAGGAGTCAAACTTCCAGATGGAAGCAGCAGGATACAGGTCAACTCCATTGGCCCCAACCATGTCCCAACAGTGGAGAGAAATTAGCATGTGTAGAAGCAGGCCGTAAGGATGGTAAGACAATGTCCCGGTTAAGGTCGAAGGCACTGGACACCTTAAAGTGATATTAAAGGATATTTTTTTTCCTCCCCCCAATGTTAGTGTAAGGACCAGTGGCGTAACAATAGCCATAGCGACCCAGGCGGCCACTATGGGGCCCGGCCGGGACACCCCCCTGATGCCATGCGGGCCGCCTGGGTCGCTATGGCTATTGTTCGATAGCGCCGCTGTTCAGATCACCGTGATCTGTGCAGCGCTGCGTTCTTCTCCATAGCCGCTGCTGAGTCAATGAGAGTCAGCAGCGGCGGTGGAGGAGGCTGGACGTGGCAGGGAGGAGGAGGCGGGGCCCGGGGGGTCAGCATCACAGAAGGAGGCAGGGCCGGTGACGGAGGAGGAGGCGCGCCCGGCGATGGAGGACGGAGCGGGCCCGGCGACGGAGG